TATATATATATATATATATATATATATTTGGCCATTTCTCTAATTGAGTAAGGAAATGACAACAGGGTCAGGTGGCACTCTCAGTTTCCAAGTAAGAAGAACTTTTTTTGGGTTGCTTGGGCACTAAAACCTCGAGACCAGTGGAGTCTAAAGGTGTGAGGACAGGAAGTCACATTTACGAGCAGATCATTAGGTAAGAACATGAGACATATGACCGTCTCTTGCCTCTCCCCTCATCTCTATCTTGTGGTTCCTGGACCTGTGCATTCCAGCTCTGGTTCAGAGGCTAAATCATTTGGGCCTTCAAGAGGCTGTCTCAACTGTTAATTTAGCTAAATGTTTACATCAGTTATAAAAAAATATATTGTTTTTTCAGGCAAAGTAAGAAAAGCATTATACCAACACATTTTTAGGCTTCTTATAAGACTTCCTGAAATATCTTTAGTTCTTGAAATAAGTACACAGATGTTGCTCTCTTTTTTTTTCTATTTTAACTCCTTATGAGTCACAAGAGACAAAATAGCACATTGATTTTTGACAAGTACCTGATATAGATATAATTTACGTAAGAATTCAATGCCATGCAAAGGTGTGGTTGGGATAATGAGCTGGGTAAAAAAAAAATGTGAAAGAATCTAATTTTGGCTTCAGCTCTGACCTTAGTCATTGGAAGGACAAAAAGCAAGGTAGCTGCATCAGTGTTATTTTGGGGATTTCTGAATTTATGTATGATCAAAGGTCATGTGATCATGTAGAGCTCCATCATATAAATGCATGCAACATAAGCACAAATTTATTGTGAATAATTGAATATTCAGTTCCAAATGAAAGTAAGCATTTAGATGTAACCGAGTGAAAAATTTTAGGTGCTTCACTTGTTGAAAATCTACCTATATAAATGTACACTGAATATTGCAAGGGTAAAATGCTGCAAAATCTAATGATACTATAAGCTGTCAATTTTATACACAAAATTAAGATGTTTCAAGTGGTTAAATAAATAGGAAAAAATAGAATGGAGTTAAAACAAGTAATAAGGGAAGGTATGTTATCTGGATACTGTAGGAAGCACATTGTGTCAGCTTTGGGCTGAGAGATGTTTATAAACATATAAATAACATTAAAAAGCACAGAAAGAGTAGAGATAATGCAGATTCAATTACATAATTTGGATTCTTGTGGTTTGATTTGACAGAATTATTCATGAAATGAAACAAAGTAACCTTTAAGAACTATAATTAAAGTTCAGTTTAGTTCATTGAATTTCAGCCAGTAATCTTTCCAGATTTCCTATTTGAGAGTTCTCATGCTGTGAGGATAAATTAAAAGCAGAATGTCAAGATATTTACTTCAAAATTTCCCAAAGAGATTCCAGAAGAATGTACAAAAATGTCTATGATAAATTTCTTTGACCCAGACACAAAAAAGAATATAAGGTATAGAGAAGAGAAGAAAATCTTAGGAAAGGAGAAACCCAAAACATATTTTATCTCACTCATCAAACATTTAAACAAGCCACTTCACAAGAATGTTTTATAAAGACACAATCTTTGTTCTCAAAAGGCAATTGAAAACATAGAGGCTAAAACTGCTAGAGGTTGCCAACCATTTTTGAAAGTTGAAGAATTTTGAGATTTGTCCACACTGAGTTCTACGTACGAAGGTGCTTCTAGAAAACATCTGTTTTTCTGTCATGCACAAAAGGTTACTGACAGTACTAAATGTGCTGGTCTTGTGTCTGATGTACCCACCACCGGACATGCAGAGACCACCAAATATCTTTTTTTTCCTTTTAAGTTTGAGAGCACAATAGAATCACACTAAATTCTATTATTCTTTTGCTTTATTTGCTTGCCAAGAGATTTCTGGCTCTCAAATACATCACAATATAGTGGGTCTGAAGAAAAAAAATATTTACTGTGTGGAAAATCCATAAAGTAAAATGTTCTGTAATTGTCTTTGATAATGGAAAACACATGGTGAAACCATGAGTGATTTAGGGATTACAAGCACACAATGTTTTGTTCACACCTTTCAGTTGTGTTTTCAGAAAGTACCGACAGTACAGCATAATGTAGCAGAATTGCTGGTCCTAAGCAAAAAGGTAGAAGGTCTCTTATATTATTTAGTTTTTAGTATAAGGAAAATTACCACATGTCAGGATATGTACAAGATATTGATATTGCTTTGAAATACACTTATCCAAAGTGCTTACACAAATGGCATAGCATCCATGATGGGTTAGAAATGCTGTTTGATCAAAAGACAGTGTAATGATACACTTGACAGATAACAGTACTGGCATAGTAGAACTTGCTAACAACCAATAGCTGCTTGTGGAAAAAGAGCTGATTTGCTGGAATCCACTGGAGAAGTCACCTTGAAAGCGTAAGTATTTCTGACTTGGCACTGCTGTAAAGATCCTGCCATCCTTCCTCTCCAGGGGTGTGTGTGCAATGAAAGCTGAACTGCAGATGGAAAAATATTTAATGCCAGTTACATTGCTCCACAACACATTATTATATTCAAGGTTTAAGAACAAACTTTTCTCAGGTGCTTGTATGGAACCCCCAGTGCATAGAAAAATTTTTAGAAATTTAAAAATGAAAGTGAAGGTAATGACCATAATCCTATTCACTTGGGTTCCCCAGAAGGCAGAGCCCAAGATCAAGGCTTATGTCCCAGAACTTCATCAGGATGTGTGATCTCAGGTAGTAAGGCAGGGAGGGAGCAAGGCCAGTACAAGGACACTGTGGCCACCACGAGTGCTGGAAGATAAGAGACGCCTTTCAGGATTGTCTGCCTGGGGGATGGAGGCAGACACATTTCTCCACCAGCTCCTGTCTCCCATTGGTCAAAGCTTTGCCTCCCTGAACATCAAGTTGCCTGTTCTTCCAGCTTGCATGTGTGTGGGCCCTGAGTGTCAACAGAGGAGTCCCAGGATGGATGGTGAGAGTCATGGCTTGGCCCCAATGAGGCGCCGTCAGTCTGCACCTACGTGAGGCTGATGGGAGCCCCCAGCAGTGAAGGCCAAGAGGACTGGAAGTGGTTCCTAGGAGGTGTCAAAGAGTGAGCTTCTGAGAATACTACTCAGAAGGCACCTTCCTCAGGCAGAGCACAAACAACAGTGCAATTGTTTCGATACCAGTGATGCTATCTTTAATTCCAGCAGTTGAGAAGGAGGTAAACTGTCACCTTAGTTGATTACTGTGAGAGATAAAGAAAGGAAAGCTTAGTAACTCAGTGACAACATCACTGTGAACACTTCACCGTACTGGCACAGGATACAAAAAACCTTGCTCCTTCACCAATCTCAGTTGGAAGTGAGGAACTATAATATCTTAAATGTGCCACCTAGTAACCACAGGAGCCACCAAATGCTGGCAGAGCAGAGAAGTGATGGTCTCTGCGCCATGATGTCAAACTTTAAAGAGCATTCACCTTTAACATTACACTTGCTGTAATGATTGCATGGTTAAACGAGATTTCAGGTTGTTCTTAAATCCCAGCAGTCTTTCTATTACGGGGACCATCAGTTTGGGCCTTAGATGTGGCCAGGTATTCAATTTTAGCTAGCAGTGGACCATTCAGTATTTACCTAAAATGTGTATTTTAGTTGCCCTCTAATTTAATGTTCTAATAATCTGATAGTATTTTAGTGACTGTAGGGGACAGTGTTTGTGATTTGGGTTACTAAGAAGCTCATGATCAAGTTTGTGTTTCTCTCTTTTAATCACCAGGGCCTTAGAGTATGCAATAAGGAATTCCGATTAGGATTTAATGTTACTCCCCTATCCTTATTTTCTTTTTGCTCTCATTTCCTCAATTAATAATATCAAATTTTAAAAAGTTACTTTTTATGACAATTATAACAGTACATAGTTAAGGAATAGAAATAGCATCTCCCGATTCACCTCTTCTGACCCTTGGCACTCCTCCAATCACTTTCATTTCTATCAGTCATTTCTCCCGGGTGATATCAGCATATCACCTCCACATTGGTAAGTAATATGCTTACATTGCTACCACATGGCATATCAATTTAAGGCATTATTTATTGGTTTCCTGTTCTCGCAGGTGGGAGTTCAGCTCACTCACACTTCCTTCCCACCTCCCTACGTCTTCTCAGTATGGCTATTTTCCAGTTTCTGGTCGAATCACTGATTAGTGTTCCTATTATTATGACCACAGTAATATGACTTGCTGTGGAGCCAGTGTGTTTTGTTCCTGGAGGTGGTGGTGGCTTCGTCCCTGCCCCCCAACCCCACCCATCTGCTTAGCTTTTTGATACCTATCACCAATTTTTCAAAACTCTCCAATTTGATCTGTCAGTTATTGCCCAGCAATAGTTTTTCAAAATGCTCAAAACCCACAAATTCTATGTTCTTTCTCCAAACCAGTCTGGATTGGCTGTTCTTGGGGTCCTCGAATCCTCTTTGCAGTACTCCTGTGCTGAACCCCGTTTCTAGGAGCCTGGATCTCCTCTTTCTTACTTACTCCCTCATTTTGCTGAAGTATATATTTTGACTCTTGAAAAAGGATAAAATGGACGTAAATTTTAAAGTCCTCACATGTCTACAACTATCCCTGTTCTACCTTCATACTTGATAGATACGTTGGCTCCATACAGATTTCCAGGTTGAGTGGAAAGTTTTCTCAAAACTGTGCAGCTGTGGCCCCTCTGTCTGTTACCAGTTAGTGTTGAAAGTCTGATGCCAGGTCCATTTCTGTTCTTTCTTTTGCCCTTTTATTTCACCTTGAAAGCTCTCTATATACTTATCTATCCCTGCTGTTCTGAAAGTTCATGAGGGTGTGCTTTGGAAAAGGTTCTGTGTCCATTTATTGCACCGGGCACTTGCTGCCTCCTTCATTCTAGAAGCCTCTGTCCTGTTCTGGAAACTTCTTCTGAATCACTACTACTACATTGTGATAATAGCCTTTACAACATTTTTTTTTTCTGTTCTCGAACTCCTTTGGTCAAATTTTGGACACCATTCTCCATGCTGGCCTCTCCTTCCCCATGACTGACCTCTCATTTCTCTCTTTTCCCTGGCAATCCTTGCCATCCTATTTACTTTGAGGAGTGAAACACTAAAGCTGACTGGAAGCACTGAGTGGGCAGGGCTTTCCACCGGTGGGCTTTACCACGGGGGATCAGACAGTGAGCTGGACCCACTAAACATCAGTACCTGTATGTATTTTTCTCTGGGGTCATTTGTTGCTACAAAGAAGAATCCTCCAGTCTCCTGCTTGGGGCGTGTGCATGTGTGCGTGCTTGCGTGCTTGCGTGCGTGCGTGCGTGCGTGCGTGTGTGTGTGTGTGTTATTGTTGCCTGGGTGCAGAGTTTTTAAAGGCGGGAATGAGAAAGGGGGTTAGCAGTATTTGACACAAGGGAAAGGGCTAGGCAAAAGTCCTCATGAGAGGCAATATGGTAAAAATCTTCCTCAAAGATGTGTAGTTTCCTTATTATTCAAGAGGTCCTGGTTTTCTGAAATGACTCATTTCTGAGAATTTGGAGAGGCCTCATTCTCTACTAAACCAACTCAACATAGGTCTCTTTTTTGTAAGACCTGAAATTTTCTTGAGTAAGATATGATTTAATTCATGGGATTCCTGTGATGAATGAACACAGCAGAGGTTTCTGAAATGCAAGGTCACTCTTTGAGAGCTGATCGGCCTCCTTTTTCTGTTGGCTTTTATAACGGCCATACTTGGGCTGTTTCTGGCAGGCAAACATCCACACTTAATATATTCCCTACCTCACTAAGGTCAAGGATTGTACTTCAATTATATCCCTCCTACCACCATTCTAGATGACCTTCCCACTCCAATCTTGTCTTAATGATAAAAGAGAGAATGGTCTTTTCTGCTCTAGAGAGACAAAGAGCAAGATAGATTGGTCAGAACCCATACAACAGAGGTAATGTTGTGTTCTATCTTCCTCTAGGTTGTACCAAGGCATCCCTGGCCTTTGACACTCACCTAGCATGGACCAGCATTTGGTACAAGCCTGTATGAGTCCACACAGCAACCCCCCAAGACCTCAGCTATTGGATTCAGTATTTCTGGTTAGTGCAAGTATCCATAAATCAGCCCAATCCAAAATTCTGTTCTGCCCACTTTTAAGCACTCTCAAAATCCAAAACTAGATCTTGATAATATCAATTAAGCAATTTCTGTAATTTATTATGGACTTTTCCCCCCTACTTTGATTCTGCATTTTATCTTCTGGGCCATGTTGAATTAAAATCCTATTTCTTAGGAGAACAACCATGAAGAGTGGGACATGGGGTAACTGTAACTTTATCATGCTGAGGTGAACTAGCTTCCTTGGGAAAAGCTGTAGATGACACTATGCCAGAGGGCCAGGAAGGACTGGGGTCCCTGGTCCTCTGCACCCTTCTTGTAGCCTCACTCCCACCGGTCCTCTTTCTCAGCTAATACTCTAAGATTCACACTTGCTTTCAGGAAGTGTGGGAATTTAACTCATTATAATCAAGACACTGCCAGTTTAGTCTCTGAATTGGTTTCCAGCCAGTTTCACCTGGCAGTATCAAGAAACACATTTTTTTTTCACTATGGTTAGTTACATAAAGGCTAAAAGTTTTACTCTAATTTGAAGATAAAAATGTCAGTATTTGGGTGGTGTTTTTCTTGCTGTTAGTTGCTCAGTGCCTTCTGAAGCAGCCATCCTACCCTCTGCTGTGTCAGTCCTCATTCGCTTTAGATTAGTGAATAGCAACATCTTCCTACTGCCCACGGCCCAGCCCTGGCCAGACTCTGTCCTCAGTGGGCAGATGGTCTCAGACTCCCACACATGGGATGACATTTTCCAGTTCCGGGACATGGGTGAGAGTCTCTTCCTTGGAAGTCTGATGTGTGCCACCTACTCTCTAGCATTCATTTCTGCACAAGTTAATTGTCTTTATTTTTAAACAACCCCAACTTCACTAAAAGTAACCATATAAGCATGGTTTGGACAGCTCACAGAAGGTAAGCAGGAGAGACCACCGGACTACAGGAGGAGGTCAGGGAGCCTCTTTCTCACCCATGGGATCCATCAGTTCCACCTACCTCTGTGTGCTTCATTTGAGTTCTGAAATTCCGATTGGCCTAGCTAGGTCAGGCTAGGGTCAATCACCCTTAGATCAAACAGGTAAGGGGGACGTGCAGGGGCCTGGTGATAGTCACCACAGGACTTGTCACAAGCCAAGCGAACCCCCCAGTTTGTGTCTAGAGCAGCGTCACTCCCTGTTGTTGACAAGGTACATCCAAACCCATGACATTTAAGGCCGTTAGTCCACACATCCAAGTGCCCTTGCTTCCAGACCTCTCCCTCCTGCTCTGCCCGATTTCCTCGTTCCACACTGCCTATTAATATCTGTTCTCTGAACATTCTCTGTTCATTCTCGACTCTGCTAGTTCTCGCCCCTTCCTCATTCGCTTTAGATTAGTGAATAGCAACATCTTCCTACTGCCCACGGCCCAGCCCTGGCCAGACTCTGTCCTCAGTGGGCAGATGGTCTCAGACTCCCACACATGGGATGACATTTTCCAGTTCCGGGACATGGGTGAGAAGTCTCTTCCTTGGAAGTCTGATGTGTGCCACCTACTCTCTAGCATTCATTTCTGCACAAGTTAATTGTCTTTATTTTTAAACAACCCCAACTTCACTAAAAGTAACCATATAAGCATGGTTTGGACAGCTCACAGAAGGTAAGCAGGAGAGACCACCGGACTACAGGAGGAGGTCAGGGAGCCTCTTTCTCACCCATGGGATCCATCAGTTCCACCTACCTCTGTGTGCTTCATTTGAGTTCTGAAATTCCGATTGGCCTAGCTAGGTCAGGCTAGGGTCAATCACCCTTAGATCAAACAGGTAAGGGGGACGTGCAGGGGCCTGGTGATAGTCACCACAGGACTTGTCACAAGCCAAGCGAACCCCCCAGTTTGTGTCTAGAGCAGCGTCACTCCCTGTTGTTGACAAGGTACATCCAAACCCATGACATTTAAGGCCGTTAGTCCACACATCCAAGTGCCCTTGCTTCCAGACCTCTCCCTCCTGCTCTGCCCGATTTCCTCGTTCCACACTGCCTATTAATATCTGTTCTCTGAACATTCTCTGTTCATTCTCGACTCTGCTAGTTCTCGCCCCTTCCCACTGCCCTCCTCGGCAGTGTCCTGTCTACCCCACTCTACCCCACCTC